AATTTTTTCATTGTGAGACAAAAACATCCATGGATGGTATGTAAATAAATGGTATAGCTGTGTTCTAATAAAACTTTATTTACAAATGGTAGACTACTCTTGGTCCAAGGGCCATGTTTTGGAGACCCTGATTTATCACAGTGCTTCTCTAACTTTGGTGTGTATCAGAATCACCTGGAGAGCTAGTAAAGAACACAAAGGGCAAGGATTAATGAAGTATTGGATAGGGCCCCTGTATTTTTACCTTATTCCAATGTTTGGGTTTTCCCTTCACCTCTTTCTTTTTTCTTATAATGTATTTGTTAAAGAACATAGACCAGGTTCAGCCAGTTATATGATGGTTAAGGCAGCTGGATCCCATGTGGCTGATTGCATCGTTTGAGTCCCAGTCCCTGCAGCTTGAAAACACACTTTGGGTGCATGTGTGTGCCAAAAACCCTGAGAGGAGAATAGAAGAGAAGGGATTATTATGGCATGGCAATCCCCCTTGGAGGGTGCTTTTGTTACCAAACTCAAATCAGGTTCTCTCACCCAAGCACTATAAAATCAAACCATAGGCACATGGTGTGAAGGAAAGTGCAGTTTTATTACAAAGCGCAAAGCAAGGAGAGCAGGCAGCTCATGCTGAAAAAACATAGTCTCCTGGATAAGCTCCCCACATGCATTTTTAAGGGCAAAATTAGGGGCAGAGGTCCCAGGCACATGATCAGTTCAGTGATTGGTTCAAGAGGGCGTGCTCATCTCATGGACATTCTTAATTGGTGAGGCCTTAGATAATCAAATTTCTCTTCAGGTGTCTGGAGCCATTCAGCCTGCAGGTCTTTGAGCTCACAACCAGCAGTTTCCAGCCTACAAAACATCTTACATATTGAAATGAAAACCTTATCTTTCCTTTAAGTGAGAGTTTTTAGAGATGAAATGGCCCTCATTCATGGTCCATGTTGGTCATTATAACCAAAGTCTGAAGACTTACTCCTTACTCTGGGCAATTACAGTGTAAATGGACCTTATATTTCAAGAACCTTAGATGATACATTAAGGAGGTCTTTGCTTGGTTTCACTTTCTCACTTTCCCTCTCTCTGTCTCTTTTCAGCAAGCACATATAACCTGTAACAAAAATGCCAAAAGAGAAAACAGGCCATTTGTCCTTTAAAAGTTTCCCACAGTTGGGTCTGGAGTCTTGTTCTGATTCCAGTTCTGTGTGTGTGTGTGTGTGTGTGTGTGTGTGTAGAGGAGAGTGGAGAGGGCATTCATACTCTATCTGCTCCCTCCACCCCTTCACCCCATTATTATCAAGAACAAGACTTCTTGGATATATTGAATGGCAAAGTAAGAAGGTTCTTTAGATCACCTAATAACTTATTCATTTCTCAGATGAAGGAACAGACACATATGGGTTAAAAAATAATAGGTCCCAATGCCACACAGTACATTATTAATGAAATCAGGAATATGATTGGAGCTGACTTCTTTATTTTGGACTCAGAGTTCATAAATTTATTAGAATCATTGATCTAATTTGGATGAGTTAATATAGACAGTCTTCCATCAGTCTACCAGGTACCTTTCTAAACCAGACATCTCAAACTGGCAGCTTTTGGACCCAATTCAAACCATAAATATGCTTTATCTGTCCAGAGCTGCTTGGAAAAAAAACAGTATTTGGCTCTAGCATTTAAAAAATTGTAATATTAATAGTTCATAGCAAAGTATAGATTTTAGGAAATGAGTTATTTTGGCCATATTGGACCTACATGGCCATATTGCTATAATCAGCTGGAGTTGAGCTGTGATTTCTCATTTTGAAATGACCACAAGCTTCTAATTTGCCACATCCTGCATTTCTCTCGTGTTTTGACAAACATTAGGATTAGATTAGAAATGACTTAGGAATGTCCCTTTTTTAAAACAAAGTTTTACAAAACTCTTGATGCTGTGTGTCTGAAGATGTGGTTGGAAAATGGTGGTCTAGAGGATGTCTACTTTGTCTAAATGGGGCAGCTCCTTCTCACCAATGATATTTCCTTCATATAAAATTACTTGTCTTGCCCTTGTCAGCATTTTAATTTATGACCGCAAATCTAAATCATCCAACTGGAATTATTTTTTCCTGTTCTGGAGACTTTTAACAACCTCCTTCTGATACCTATCCCTTGTTTGAAATTTCTTTTATTTTTGAGAGGTTTTTTTTTTTTTTTTTTTTTTTTTTTTTTTTTTTTTTTTT